CCCGGAGCCGAGCCAAGCCAAAGCTCACCCAAAAAAATAAGGCTCGGTCCGAGCTTTTGGCTCGGGCTTTTTACGAGCCGAGCTGGCTCGGCTCGGGCCGGCTCGGTTTTTTTTTTTTTTTTGCAATTTTTAATGACATTTTTTTTACATGCTAATTGTTGTGGTGCAAATTGTTGAATGACATTTTTTTGAAAGAATTTAAAAATTGCATCATTTGTTATTTATACAAATTACAAATTAAATAAAAGTATAACTTTCAAAATTATGTAATTTATACTAATAAGAAAATAAATAAAAGTTACAAATTACAACCCTCCTCCTTTTTTCGGGATTGGGACCGACTACAATCAACGTAGGCGGAATTAAAATTGTACACGAATAAAATATTTCGTGTACAATTTTTTTGAATCAAATAAATTTAAAAAATATATTTCTTAAAGAAAAATAATTAATTTAAAAACTTACAACATCCAATGTTTGGATATGCTGCAACTCTTCGGCCATTATACTATCAACATGTTCTTGAACACGTAATTCTGCACATTCTCAATCCTTCAAACATATCAAAACCTCCAATATATCTTCTTTTAGTCTTGATCGTTCATCTGATAAAATTCGACCACCTAAACTGAATGCAGCCTCCGATGCTTCCGTAGACACCGGAGGTGTTAGTAGATCACGTGCAATTTTTGATACAATTGGATATTGCCTTTCGTTACATCTCCACCAATTTAAAAGACTAAATTCTTGTAATTCGTGCGATTGCAACACACTACGAACATCCACGCACATATACCTAGCTAACTCAGAAGGAATTTCAAGATTTGTTAACTCAGAAAGAATTTCAAGATTTGTACCACCAATATTGATCGCTCTAGATGTTGATGAGCTAGAACTAGAACTAAATGAAGGAGCACTTGTATTGCTATCTAAATAATTCCATAAATTTTCGGGATTTGTTGAAATATTTCTTGAAAAAGAACTTTGGGAAGTAGAACTAGGCTGACCTTCCTTTTCAGCATAATAATTATACATTTCACATAAAAAAGATTCTATATGCACGTGTAATAATTCTATATTCAAAAAATCTGATATCCCCTTTACAGTAGTTTTTGTGCCAGTTAAATTAAGTCGAGGGTCCATTACTGAAGCTAAAAGAAATAAAGAAGGCAACTCTTCCTAATATTTACAAAATTTTAACTCCATAGAGCGAACTACATCAGCAAAAAGTGGCAACTTCCTATATTTATGAAATGCTTGTGAAATGTAGAAAAAATGTTGTAAAACAAGAGAAGATGTAGAGTAATAAACACCGCTACATTCCTTTGTAGCATCGAAAAAAGGTTGTAAGAATTTTTTCATGTAAATTACAATAGTCCAATCCCAATCTTCCAAATTATGTTCGGGTCCGAGTGTATGCCTACCATTATAATATAGTGAAATCACTTTATCGTAATTTTCACACGAATGTAACATAAGATATGTAGAGTTCCATTTATGTGTTACATCAGTGGCAAATGATTTCTCCTGTAATCCATACTCTGCACACAAACTATTAAATGCTTGTTTTCTTGCTGGTGATACAGTAATAAAATTCATTGCTTGTCTAATTTTATCTAAAGGTGAACTTATATGTTCTAATCCAGCTTTTACAATCAAATTAATAATATGACATACGCAACGTTGATGAAAAAATAAATTTCCAAATATAGGATTAAGATCAGCAATAAATCTTTCAATAACAACTTTGTTCACTGCAGCATTATCAAAAGTAAAACTTCGAACCATATCTTGTATACCATATTCCTGTATGATATCTTTTAAAACCATGTATATATTAGTGGCATTATGGGGAAATTCTACACATCTGAATGCAATAATTCTTTTATGTAAAAGCCACAGGTGATCAATATAATGAGCCGTAGTAGCAATATAACATTTTCTATTACAACTAGTCCATAAATCAGAAGTAAACGATATAACACTATTAAAATTTTTTAGACCTTCAATAGTAATTTGTTTTCTTCTGTTATATAATTTTATGCTATCCGAACGAAGAGTATTTCTAGAATAAGAAGAATACCTCGGTTGGAGATATTTCTGCACGAGTCGGATAAAGTGTATTAAGTCTATTATCGTAAGCGGCATCTCTGCTGCAGCCACGTATGCAGCCATTCTTTCATGAAATCTTTCCTGTGAATATACAAAAGTGGAAAGAGTAGAATTAGAACCGCCAAACACTAGTTCGGTTTGTTTCGAGTCGAGATCGGCTGGTTTTGCTTTGCAACTCCTCAATACGTGTCTATTCAAATGCGTTGTGCTCGAGCCAGGCTTCCAACTAAGTTCTTTGCCACAATAATTGCAACATGCTTTTCAAATATCTACTCCATTTTGAACACCAATTTTTTTTCGTGTCATATGTTGCCAACAGTCCGATGATCTTTTTTTGACCTTTTTGTCTCGAGTACTTGAACTTCTTCCTCTTAAATATCCTCCAAATTAATTGGAACATTTTCACATGCATCGTAGTTAGATGGAGTACTCGAACTACCGCCAAACTGATTAACTTCATCACTTGTAAAATCCATAATAACTAGTATAATAAAAAATACTGAATATTAGACTGTAAAGTGAAAGAAATTGAATATATTAATTGTTATATGAGAAGTGAGAAAGAAGAAATTAAAACTTGAATCTGAATCTATGATATAGAAATAATGCGAATTAAAATCGATAGCAAAGTGATTTAAAACTTCAAAAATCATCTCGTATTTATAGATAAAAAAACCCACATTATTTTTCAAATTTGAATTTCAAAAAGATAACAGTACAATGTACTAATACGAAAAAAAAGCAGCTATAGCTGCCTGCAGCAGGTAAAAAAAAATTTTTCAAATTTTTTTTCTTTAATTTGCTCGGGCCGAGCATTTTTGTCATGGGCCATTTTTGGCCCGTGACACGAGCCGGCCAGTGTGGCTCGCCGAGCCACCCGG